TATATACACCTGTATAACCGATTTCAGTGTAACTTACCATATACTCTTTGATGAGGTTTTGAGGATTCTCATTCAGGAAGATCATCAAGGATGCATTCACGTTTTAGTACCTTGCAGATATATACTTTCAGAACAGAGCTTACAACTCCACCTTCACAACCTGAGAGATCAAATACAGTGGCGGCCGGCCAATAGAGGGCGCTAGGGCGCCGCCCCACCACTCACAACTTGCCATGTTACCTTGAAAAAAACGTTAAAAAAAATAATAACATTAAAATATTTCGAAATGTATGTGTGTTTTATTTCAGATGTGGAAGAAATACTTTATAGTTTATGCTGAGTTGGATTGATTAAGCTCATCAGCGTTGTCTGTGTCGGACTGAGGACGTATTTCCGCCTCAGGGCGCAAAAGATTGCGCCCTGAGCCGTCTATGGACTCTCGTTAAAAGTTGTACATGCGCAGTAGCTCCTCTTCAATGCAAGAGATAAGACGATTTGGGGGCGCAGGAGAAGTGCGCCCTGAGGGGGCGGGATCGCCCGCGACCTGTACTGTCACTGTCTGTGACGTCCGTTTACAGTGATTGACAGGTCAAGCTGTGGGAGTTTGAGACGAACGTAAACAGACGCAAAATGGAGAACGAGAAAAAGAATAATTCAGTTGGATCACTCTAAACAATACCGTTTGAGAGAAGATCATACCAGGAGAAGGTTGAGGTTAAAGAGCTTGGACCTGATCAGCCAAATATTACCATTAGTCAGCAGTCCAGCGACAGGGGGAGACGGTACACTCGTACTTTTTCCAGGACCTGGTTCAGCGCCAAATCTTGGCTAGCAGCATGTAGCGAGGCTAATGCTTTATTTTGCTTTCCATGCCTCTTGTTTCAAACATCAGGATCTGACCCAGCATGGATCAAGACAGGTATGACTGATCTGAAGCACTTTTTAGAAAAGGCAAAGAAGCATGAGCAGACTGGTATCCACATGCAAAATGCCCTCAAATTAGCTATGTTTGGGAAGATAAATATTTCATCCCAGCTGGATGAAAGCTACAGGGTAGGGATCAGAAAGCACAATGAGGAGGTTGACAAGAATAGGCACATCCTATCAAAAATAATAGACTGTGTCAAATTCTGTGGTGCATTTATATCGAGTCATCATATTCATAGCCCCCCCAGTAGAAAATTCCACCAGCCGCCACTGATCAAATAAGAAGATTAGAAAGAGAAAATACAACAAAAGCCTAAAATAATAATTTACCTTTAGGATGGAGTTTTAGGGCACAGCAGTTACACCTCACAGATGGCAACCTGGAGAGAAAATATAAACACACCAGGCTCAACAACAATCCACACAAAATGTACTCAATCAATAGTGTTTGTAAGTCCCCAGTGTATTTAGCATTTAGCATTTAGCATAGCCATCTCCTTCGCCACTAACGGAGCTAACTAGAGCTAACAGGATAATAAAACCCATACTAGCAAAAAGTATCCATGAAGTTGACAGACCGCGGCGCATACGCTGCGGATCCCCGTGCGGGACCGGGAATCAGTCCTTTCACCGTGGATCCGCCGCTGCAGGTCCACTGCGGACCTCACGGAGCCACGTCCATGTTATTCTCCCTTCACAATCTCTTTCAGGCGGACAGCGCAAATAAACAAATAAAAAAACAGCCCGTGGTTACAGCGTTGACTTAAATTAAAATACAGTTTGTCTGCAGTTCGCACCGATGCATCACTACCGCACTTTGTAAACAGTGTTTGACCCCATGACTTGTTTGCTGTTAAACTCGTGAAAACAAAAGTGAGGAGGGGAAAGTGTGCTTTATAGCTTTCGAATGCTATTTTACTATTTAACACGCAGTTGGGGAAAGTACAATAACGTCTAATAGTCTAATTATTGTTTCATAACAATACAGGTTGTCATATACTGCCACAAAATACAATATTATCTCTGGGAACAACATAAAAAGGATTTTAAGATAGCTATCAACTGTGAAAAAATATGTCAAACACATATATTTACGGACAGTATTTCCAAATGAAATACCCAACATATTATCCCAAAGTACCACTCAGTTAATATTTGATAATAATAAAGAAGTAATTACCCAAAACTGCACGATGATGACGTTACTCAGTCTACATTCAGACGTCAGTTGCATGTGACGTCACGGCCACGCCCACTCTCCATGACAGACGCAGAAGTCTAACTGGAGCCTACGGACACCTGACCAAAACAACCTGTTTCAGCGCATTACAGCCAAAACTGACATTTTGCAGTGCGGTTGATTATACTAACAGGCACGGACATAAGCTTTTTTATCTGATACCTGCTCGTCATGAAGACAGAAGACGACGATGGCGGCAATCAACCAAAAGGACTGGGACCCATCCAAGTACTCCCTAATATGCAGTGAACACTTTTTACAAGATAAAGCAATCACAAGTTTGTATTTATTTCATTTCCATTAATTTGGAGCACAATGACACACGTCAAACGTGTCCCTTACTACTATCCTGTATGTGCGCTGCAACATTGACATTTTTATCTTTTAAGTCAATTGCGTGTTTCACTATTTTCCGTCAGTACGTATAATGTTTGGCTGTAGACAGAAAAGTGGACTATTGCTAATGCTACCAGCAAAATGTACATATAAATCTGCTCCAGTGTGAGGGGGTGCATTGTTAACGATAATGATAAAGATCATGTAGGGTGAATTTGGGCAAAAATATACTTTTTATTTAATTGATAAAATTGACTGGGGGGAGAAGGTACGGGTCAACATCGAGTTAGGCAATCCTTAACTTCTCCAAATACCACTCTTTGTGAGCCCTGACCTGATGTCCTACTTCCACCTATAACGTAATCAAACATTGCTTGAAGCAGCCACTTCTCGATTTAGGAGAGGAAGCTCCGTTTTTAAGAGTTGTGTCCGTTTTGCTCTTTTGCAATGCTAGTTTCCAATACTTCCGCCGTAAGCTCATTCACAATCACGTGACTGGATGACGTTGATGCATCAGGGCTATAGGTCTGGAGTTCTGCTGCGGGGATAAAAATGTCACTATTCTGAATGTATATACACCATACGAATGCTCTGACAATGAATTTGAGTACCTTAATAGATTAGCCTATATTATGGCTTATATTCAAGACAATCCATCTAGCAATGTTTTCATTGTGGGGGACTTTAACGCTGACATTTCTGATCAGCGTTCCCTATTTGCAAATCATTTAAAGCACTTCTGCTCTGATAATGGCCTTTGTCTTTCCAGTAATATATTTTTGCCCAGCGACAGCTACACTTACACTAGTGAGGCATGGCACACCGCCTCCTGGCTCGACCACTGTGTGTGTACTACTGATGCTCATAACTCCATTGTGTCTTTTAGGATTAAAAATTTCAAATGGAAAAATTCAAGCAAAAAAAAATTCTAAATCTGACACAAAAAATCTTCCCTACGAGTCCTCCAGCCTCATGGACATTTATAAGTCACATTCTGAGCCTATGACAACAATTCAAAAACATGATGGTAAAATATTAAATATGTATATATATAATATAATATTAATATATAAATATTCTTAAAAAGGTCACATTTGTTCTTAGTTAACATGTTTTATCATTTGGAGCTTCTGTAAAAATCACACAGAGTAACTTTAAAAGAACTTTCTAAAGCTAATAGCACAAATATACATGCATGTTATAATCTTAAGTAGTCATTTTATTTGAGCAGTTTTACAGTGTATTTTAAATCTCAAAAAGAGAAGCCAGAAGCAAAAAGCATCTAGCCTGCATTTGACAGTTTTCAGTGTCTACTTCCATCTTTTTCACTAGGCTTTGGTACACGACACTGAGATACATCACACAGGCTCAACTGGGACGTTACAAAGATAGAAAGTTAGGTCCTCACATTTTACATATTTGTGCTTTTCAATAAAAATGCACCGTCCATGATCCATTGGACCAACAAAACTCAGTCACATCCTTCACCTGGGACACGCTCTGGCCCATTCTATAATCAACTTGTTTTCTTTCTTTAGCTGAAGTTGAACCCAGCCCAACTATTTTCTCTCTCCCCAGACTCTGAGGGAGTGAGGACAGAACGGCACCCTGCGATTGGCCAACGGAGCACTGGGCGGGACTTGGAGGCGTCCTGTGATTGGCTGGATCCCGGGACCCTCTCCAGCTGCGAGCCTTTTGTCTGCGCTGAGGTGCAGAGAGAGAGAGAGAAGGCAGAGGAATCCAGGTGTCGGACAGGACTGGACTGGAGACTTCCCCGGGACAAAAAGCACAACAGAAGTGAGTTTGCTTCAAAAATGTTGTCACGAACTATTTTCCAGGTTTTCAAGTGTGCAGAGGTTACTATGAAAAAATGGTTTGTAGCTGCTTTAGTCCAGGTCAAGCCTATAGTTTACTCACTTTTACCCTGCTTTAGTTACATACATGGTTTATTTCATCCTTTCCATTCTTGATCTTCATTTTTTTCCTTAATTTTTCTTCTGCTTCCCCACATTTGTCCTCTGCATTTGACCCATCTGCATTGTCTAGCGCCCACCGATCTATCTCCAGATGTGGATGCTTGGCTCGGTCATGTTTTAGTGGTGGGGGACACTGGAGCACACAGAGGAAACTTATGCAGACACAGGGAGAACATGCAACCTTCACTCAGAAAGACCCTGTTTCGCCTTGGGCTCAAACCTTAGGAGGAGAAGCGAGAATGCTAACCACTCAGCCACTATGCTTTAACTGTCTCACATCCTTTTATATATGTATATTTTTGTTAATTTTGGTCCACGATGTGAAATATTCCACTCTGTAACAATTCATATCTACATAGAAGTTTGATAGCTACCACTGCCTGCGATTCTAAACGTATTACTGCGAGAGTTTGTAAAATACTTTGCTTTGTTTCAGTCGGAGTCGCACGTTCAAGGCGAGGATTTCAACATGAGCTCATCCAAGCAAAAGGTAAAAACTCTCTTTGCTAAACGCAGATTGTACTTGTTGTATTTTCATGTCCTAGTATTTGAGTTGTTATAATAATAATAATAATAGCGGTTTTTAAAGATAATAATTACCAAAGAAAACCCCTCATTTTATTATTAAGGGACTTGTATTTTGACATTTCAAGTAAGACATTCCTCGATGATTTATTGGCAAATTTGACTTTAAAAAAAAATAAGGTAAATGTTATTATGATGTGCCGGATTCTTATTTATTTCAGTTCTAGATGTTTCCCCAGAGAAAACACAGCTGATTATTCTGGCAAAATCATGCAGCCCGAGTTTAGACCCAGTTTAGACCCAGTTTAGACCCAGTTGAGTTTAGACCCGGTTTAGACCCAGTCGAGTTTAGACCCGGTTTAGACCCAGTTTAGACCCAGTCGAGTTTAGACCCGGTTTAGACCCAGTCGAGTTTAGACCCGTTTAGACCCAGTTTAGACCCAGTCGAGTTTAAATACAGTTTAGACCCAATGTAGACCCAGTTTGAGTCCTTGTTTTATGTGAGTAAACTCCTGTCTGTGGTTTTTCCTGTGGTCTATCCATACACCATTTACAGACTTCAGGAAAACACAATCACAATTTACAACTTGAAGACGTTTAGATACAAGTTCATACATGCACACACACTCATAGTCTCATAGACGCACACACACTCACACAGACGCAGACACACACACACACACACACACACACACAGACTATCAGTCTCACATTGTTGACCGCATTAACCGCAATATTACAAATGGATCCATCTGAGACTTGATCTCTGGTACTGGTGAAGTCCTGGTTTAGTACTGGTCTAGACCTTGTTTTGTCCTAGGGTTAGACCACACTTAAAATATGGTTTAGACATGGTTTAGTCCTGGTTTAGACCTGGTTTAGTCCTGGTTTAGACCTGGTTAAGATCTGGTTTATTACTGGCTTTTTAGACAACAATTGGATCTGGTTTAGTCCTGGTTTAGACCTGGTTTTTACGTTGTCTAGACCTGGTGTTATCCTGGTCTAGTCCTGGTCTAGTCCTGGTTCGTGCCTCCTAACCTCCCAGTTGTATTGTGTCCCGCCTGCATTGTGCTGTGTCTATATTTAACCGCTTTAATCAGAGGAAACTCAGTGAGATAAGCCGGTCCCAGTCTGTTTCGGATCCATCTCTGTCAGCGCCTTCCGGGGTCCAAACTCAGTCCAAACTCGGTCCAAACTCGGTCCAAACTCGGTCCAAACTCGGTCCACAATGTCAAACCAAATGTCAAACCAAATGTCAAGGGCATTAAGTAATTTTTCTGGGTGAAATGACGACGCCCTACACAACAGTTGTATAATGGTAACACTGCTTCCTTCGTTTAGGTGATAATTATTCCCAGTTCTCACTCGCCGCCGTAAAAGGACACAGTGACTACATTTTGTTTGTTCCAACAGAAGGAAAAATGTTTGAACAAATCAGATGACATCATTCTGTCTTCTTATAATAGATAACATTTGATATTTTGTGAGTCACTTTTTGACACTTTGGGATGAGAGCTGATTGGCTGACTCAGAGTGGTCCCTTCGTCTTTGTCTCTTTTCTGAACTGTTTTGAAAGATTGAAACTAGTTAGATAGATTTTGTTACAGTGCCATGTCAACTAAAAGGCCTCATGCTATCTCAAGGCTCTTACGGATCCATAACAACCTCGGGTCTAAAATATCTAAATGAGCCAGGGCGAGTAGAAGCCGTAAAAGCCGTCAAAATTCAGCTTTAAAAACAATAATTTAGGGTATTTTTAACCACTGTGAAAGCTCAAAGACTCTTCACATGTCTTTATTCATTCACTCCAAACACGGTGGTGATGAACTACTACTGTAGCCACGGCTGCCTTGGGGCACACTGACAGAAGCGAGGCAACTAGTATGTACCATCGGCCCCTCCGACCACCACCAACCATTCACACACACACCAGACTCTTGGCAATGAGGGTGAAGTGTGTTTCCCAAGGACACTACAACAATTTGGCACTTTAAAGTCGTAGCCGCCCCACTGTGGTGCCTCGTGTTCCCCCCACAGGTCTCCCATTACAGCACTAACCAAGTCCTGCCCTGCTTTGCTTCAGGTCTGACAGGATCTGGCAGGATCTGTATCTGACAGGATTTTGGTCAGAAAAATTGGGAGACAAAAGGGCTGGGGGAACTTTTTGTGCCATAATCAGAATCATGTATTAAAGGCCACAACCTGGTGGAATTATTATTTATTAATATTTATTCTTTTTTATTGATAATAATAAACAAGAAAAAACAATTAGTCTTTTGATGACTCCTTAAAGCAGGGGTGTCCAAACGTTTTAGTAAGAAGGCCGCTTTAGTTCACCTGACTAGTCCAGGGGCGACATCACGGACTGAAAAACTGTCTTGACTGGCATCGGGCTGTTCTGAGCTTTAAAATTATATAAAACAAAGCTGAAGTTAGCTGAATGACACATGTTTACCATCTCATCACACTGAGGGCCGCAATTGGCCCCCGGGCCTGAGTTTGGACATACTGTATCTGCTAAAGGTACAATATATTTTTTACTCCCTTCTAGCGCTGAGATCATATTTTGTAATCTATGGTACTTGACCCTTTGTGGACCCTCTGTGGATCCTCTGTAGACCCTCTGTGGACCCTCTGTAGACCCTCTGTGGACACTCTGTGGACCCTCTGTGGACCCTCTGTAGACCCTCTGTAGACCCTCTGTGGACACTCTGTAGACCCTCTGTAGACCCTCTGTGGACCCTCTGTAGACCCTCTGTGGACCCTCTGTAGACCCTCTGTGGACCCTCTGTGGACCCTCTGTAGACCCTCTGGACCCTCTGCGGACCCTCTGTGGTTCGGAGGGTTTGTCCTGATGACAGACGTGGGCTTAATCCCCAGTTGTGATCTGCATTTATTTCTGTTTCGGAGGCGACAGGTGAAAGGGCTCCGCGGGGATCAGGGCGTCTAACTACAGACCTCTGACACCAGCGAACACAAAAGGACACGGACAAAATCACAAACATAGAAACAAAGGCTGTCACTGAGCAGAGGAGACGGAGGCACTATGTTTTCACAATATATCATTCAAATGTGTGCTGGCCTTTATCTCAATGTCACATTACAGATTAGATTAGATTAGATTCTATAGATAATTGAGCTGGCAGGAAACAACTGTGCGTGCTAAAAGATAGAGATAGATAGATACTTTATTGATCCCCGTAGGAGAAATTCAAGTGTCCTGTAGCAGCAAAAATAAAATATATAATTGATTATTCTAAAAAGCTAACAATAGTAATAATCAGCAACAGCCCTTCAGGTCTCAGCAGCAGAGGTGGAGTAGCCTCTGGGTGGAGCAGGACAGGTCACAGCAGCAGAGGTGGAGTAGCCTCTGGGTGGAGCAGGACGGGTCACAGCAGCAGAGGTGGAGTAGCCTCTGGGTGGAGCAGGACGGGTCACAGCAGCAGAGGTGGAGTAGCCTCTGGGTGGAGCAGGACGGGGGTCACAGCAGCAGAGGTGGAGTAGCCTCTGGGTGGAGCAGGACGGGTCACAGCAGCAAAGGTGGAGTAGACTCTGGGTGGAGCAGGACGGGTCACAGCAGCAGAGGTGGAGTAGCCTCTGGGTGGAGCAGGACGGGTCACAGCAGCAGAGGTGGAGTAGCCTCTGGGTGGAGCAGGACAGGTCACAGCAGCAGAGGTGGAGTAGCCTCTGGGTGGAGCAGGACGGGTCACAGCAGCAGAGGTGGAGTAGCCTCTGGGTGGAGCAGGACGGGTCACAGCAGCAGAGGTGGAGTAGCCTCTGGGTGGAGCAGGACGGGTCACAGCAGCAGAGGTGGAGTAGCCTCTGGGTGGAGCAGGACGGGTCACAGCAGCAAAGGTGGAGTAGACTCTGGGTGGAGCAGGACGGGTCACAGCAGCAGAGGTGGAGTAGCCTCTGGGTGGAGCAGGACGGGTCACAGCAGCAGAGGTGGAGTAGCCTCTGGGTGGAGCAGGACAGGTCACAGCAGCAGAGGTGGAGTAGCCTCTGGGTGGAGCAGGACGGGTCACAGCAGCAGAGGTGGAGTAGCCTCTGGGTGGAGCAGGACGGGTCACAGCAGCAGAGGTGGAGTAGCCTCTGGGTGGAGCAGGACAGGTCACAGCAGCAGAGGTGGAGTAGCCTCTGGGTGGAGCAGGACAGGTCACAGCAGCAGAGGTGGAGTAGCCTCTGGGTGGAGCAGGACGGGTCACAGCAGCAGAGGTGGAGTAGCCTCTGGGTGGAGCAGGACGGGTCACAGCAGCAGAGGTGGAGTAGCCTCTGGGTGGAGCAGGACGGGTCACAGCAGCAGAGGTGGAGTAGCCTCTGGGTGGAGCAGGACGGGTCACAGCAGCAGAGGTGGAGTAGCCTCTGGGTGGAGCAGGACGGGTCACAGCAGCAGAGGTGGAGTAGCCTCTGGGTGGAGCAGGACAGGTCACTGCAGCAGAGGAGACAGATAGACAGATAGAGAAAGAGAGACAGACAGACTGACCGTCCGTTAGTCGTCTGGGATAAAGACAGATTGATAGAGAGAGAGAGAGAGAGAGAGAGAGACAGACAGACAGATAGACAGATAGACAGATAGACAGACAGATAGACAGACAGATAGACAGATAGACAGACAGATAGACAGACAGATAGACAGATAGATAGACAGACAGATAGACAGATAGACAGACAGATAGACAGATAGACAGATAGACAGATAGATAGACAGAGAAACAGACAGAGAGACAGAGAGACAGAGAAACAGACAGAGAGACAGAGACATACAGACAGAGAGAAAGACAGACAGAGAGACAGATAGATAGATACAGACAGACAGACGCCCCCCCTCTCCTCCTGAGTCTGCTGTCTAATGGTCTCTCAGTGGAGCATCAATAATGTGCTAGTTTTACATGAGAAGAAAACAACAAATATCACAAAACACTATTAACAATGTGCTGTGTAGACGTGACCATGTGAGAATATACATGTCTTTGGTGCTGATATTCTGAGGACAGCCTGATGACAGCCTGATGACAGCCTGATGACAGCCTGATGACAGCCTGATGACAGCCTGATGACCCTCTGATGAAGCGTCCAGGCTGTTGGTGTGAATGTCAGAGCAGTGAATGTGAGGAGGTGTTAAACCCACAGAGACTGGAGCCTCACAGACCACAGCTACTGCAGACTCTGTGCCACTGTTCTCTCTGTTTAATCCATCACAGTACAACAATATCAGATGTATATTTAATCATAATAATTATACATTTTTATCGAAAACTATTTTTTTTTTTAAAAGAAATGAATCAAAAAATGTTTCCTTGTCATTTTATGTTTTTTTCTAGCAGAAGTCATTACATTCAGAAGTACTTAACAATATTTTACATTCACCTCCTACAAGTGAAAGCCAGACCTCTGAAGCTAAGCAGGGCAGGGTATGGTTGGTACTGTGATGGGAGACTTCTGGGAACACCAGGTGTCACAGTGGGGAGGCGGACACCCACATTGCCGTGACTCAGTCTGGTGTGTGTATGAATGGTTGATGGTGGTCGAAGAGGCCAACGGCACATACTGGTTGCCTCGCTTCTGTCAGTGTGCCCCAGGGCGGCTGTTGCTCCAGTAGTAGTTGAATAGTGACACATGAAACGTCTCAGTGTCCAAAAAAGTGCTGTGTAAAACCGATGCATTATCATGATATTAGATTCCTTTATTTATGGAGATACCATTACATTTACTTTTAATCACCTACCGCACACAGAGTATACACACATACGACTACACATACATACAGTACATACCTATTTAACAGTTTCACCATGTGCTACCAGTCCCACCCTGTGTACATAATTTACATTTTGTGGTTCAAAGGACAGATTTATTTTTCATTATTGGCAAAAATGTGTGCAGGGAGCAACAAGGAGGCAACATAAAACATGCAGCTTGAAAATGTCTGGCTGTAGAAACAGTTATTCGCATGTATAATTATAATATTGTCTTAATTAAACCACTATTAGGCCTGGCTTGGAAAACATAGACCGACATTTACCAAAGAAAGAGGCACTTTAGGGATTTAAAGGAGAAGGGACATGACTTGAACACAAACAGATGACACTGACTACAACATTGACTGGCTAAATGATGAGTTAGAATCTCTCAAAATCCAAAGAAAGCAAATATTTGTAACGCAATGCAACCCGGATCCGGTCTGGAGGCTGCTGCAGACATGTGGAAATCTTCAGTCACACGAGAAATGAGAGAAACAAACACTGAGCTCACCTCTGCAGGCCATGACATCACCGCGTAACGTCACTCCTGGGTCTGCTCCAACGAGGAGAGGCCCCAGGGTGGGACCAGATAAGAAGGAAGGAAACCAGGACTAAATCTGGGCTGAAAAAGAGCTAAATTAGGTTAAAACCACATGATCCAGGACTAAGCTGAAATTCTACACTGTGGTGATGCATTCTTTAGCAGCCACTAACTCGCTGAACTCCTCCTTCGCACAAACATAACGCTATAACCAAACCTCAGACCACTGCTGCTATGGCAACAATGTAGAATTATCTATCTAGAATTTCATTCGAAAAAGAAAGGCTTAAAAGAAATATACTGTAGTATCCAAACCCTCTTTTAATAATAATAATGCATTGATTTTACCTAGCGCCTTTCAAATTCAGATTCAGATAAAAAAAATTGCCATTTGCAGTAAAACCTCATTGGAATACATTAGCACAAGTCCCCAGTGTGCACAAGACAAGTACATACATGAAGCTGTTATCATGTCCTGCATCTCAGAGAACGATCTTCTGCCAGAAGGAAGAAGCTGGAACAAGGCTTTTCCAGGGTGGCCAGAAGAGTCATTGATTATTCTAAGTGCTCGGTTTAAAGTTTAAGTCTGGTTTGATTCTGGATTTATAAAGAACCTCCAGAGCAGGCAGCTCACAGCTCATAGTCCTCTTTGCAGAGCACATTTCTGGACCCTCTCCAGAGGGGTTCTCGAGAACCCCTCTGGACATTTCTGGACACTCTTTGAGGGTGTCCAGATCAATGGAGAGTTGATCTATTCTCTAAACTATGAAATCAATGAACCTCTCGCTCTGATTGGTCTGAATTCTAAGTGTGTTTTGTTGCGTTGTTGGCAGGCGCTGGCAGCCGAGGCCTGTCTGCTCTGCCCGGGGACCTGCTCTGGGTTCCAGCCACATTCCTGGAGGTAAGACTAATTTAAAAAACACCACAAGAATCCTTTTTTTTTCTTTTTTTTTTACTATATTTGAACAAAAGGAAGTTGTCTCCAAACACAGGACCTGACGCTGCAGACAGGAATGCAGACGCAAAAAGTGTGATTCACGATTGGATTATTTTTGGAAAGAAGACAGAAAAATCATTGCAGAGGAATGACTCGCTTTTAGTAATGTAGGAAATGTTCAATGGAGAAGAGTGTGTGTGTGTGTGTGTGTGTGTGTGTGTGCAGCTAAATACAATTGTTTTTAACCTGGATTTGAACATAGTCAGAGTAGAAGCCTGTCTCATATTTTTAGGAAGATTGTTCCAGATTTTAGCATGAATCTGAATCGCTGCCTCCCCATGTTTAGTCCTGACTGTGGGCACCAGCAGGAGACCAGTCCCTGTGCTCCCCAGAGTCCCAGCAGGAGACCAGTCCCTGTGCTCCTCAGAGTCCCAGCAGGAGACCAGTCCCTGTGCTCCTCAGAGTCCCTAACATGTCTCTGATGTCCTTTGGTGCGGGGCCATGGATATATATAACTAAAATGTTCTCCTCAGGAAGGCGTGCGTCTCCTGTGGCTGCAGCAGCGTGGACCATGTGAGCAGCGAGGCGGAGGAGGACCAGCGGATGGGTCGCCTGCTGAGCGACTCGCCCTGTGGTCACATGACGCAGAAGGTGAAAGGGGGCGGCGGCCTGAGGCTCTACAAACGCAACCGTCTGATCGTCACCAACCCCCACGTGTCGCGCAAGGACCCCACCTTCAGCACCACGGCCTATCAATGGGCCCCCAGCACCACGCACAAACTGGTGAGACTCTAGTGCCTGCATCGTGTACCACAAGTAAGGGCGGGTGGCACAGTGTCTGTGTAGGTTTCCTCCGGGTGCTCCAGTTTCCCCTACCACCAGGGCTGGACTGGCCATCGGGCGTACCGGGCAATGCCCGAAGGGCCGATGCCCATATTTGGGCCGGTCTGTCTCCCTCATACAAAACACATGTTTGTGAAAAGTGTAAATCCGTTGAGAAATGTTTGAGGGGCGCGCGCGTGTCCGCGGGGCACCTGCTGTATGTACTCGAATGGGATTCCACCACCTCAGCGGCCGCAGTGTTCCCGCATCCAGCGGCTCTGAGCTGGACGCAGGAACCGCTCACAACACAACACGGTGAGCGCGTAGCCGCAACGTGACCATATACCCAAGACCATAAACGTGCACAGGACCATGCATGTCTTTGCGTAATTTGTGCAGTGCACCCAATAAATACACCGCTGCAGAAAACAGTTCGCGTCTCCCCTCTCCTCTAAATTAAAGCTCGGGTACCTAAATTTTCCATTGCATTAAAAGTTCATGTTCATGTTTCAAAAGTAAAATTTTGTGAACAGATTAAACAGATTTAGAGCCAGCTAATGGCTGACAATATGCATTTCAGAAATGTTTACCAATTCTCATCCCTGTAACAAACAATAGTGTTGTCTGTGCCCACCTCCCTCACTCTGAGACATGTTTATTACTCTGTTTAATGTAGACTATTGTACTTTATTTTATTGTTGAAACTGCAGACATCCTGATCCTCTACAGTATTTGCTTCCACATACTGTATAAACCAGGGGTCGGCAACCTTTAGTGCCCCTAAAGTGGCTCCTGGAGCCTTTTCAAAAATGTCTGAAAATGGAGTGTGAGGGCTCTATTTTATTTCTAGTTTCAATGTGGTTTTTGTAGGAGGAAAAACATTCTTAACGTTTTTCAATGCTGCAAAAACTTGTATAAGTAATAATCAATTTTAGCATTTCTGTCAACGTAGTGCGTCATATCCTGTGACGCGGCCCGTGCCAGACGGCTGCTGCTGTAAACAAACCGCCGTGTGAGCATTATAGACTGTGTGTGCGCATGGATCCCAAAGATAAAGAGAGAGAGTCGATAAGACTGGACTAAGAATGAGAATGAACATTTGCTTTCAGTCAATGAGGAGGGACTGCTTCATGTTTGCGATGTAATGAGAAGTTTTGTTGCAACAGGAGGAACAATGAAGCTTTAAACACCGTTCACTGAAAGATGAATTCATCATAAAGTCAGAGCACCTATTTTCAGACTTCAAATACCTTCGCAAAGACGGTGAAAGAAAAGGCCATTAAGGACATTCAGCTCCAGCAAACTTCAGCTTGTGATGGATATGAACAGACAGTGATGCAGGTGAACTCGGAGCCAAAAAGCAGATTTATTTACTGTATTTGTACAATTGCATGAAGGCAAAAAAATGGAAGTTAAACTTTAAGCAGAGGTAAGCAGTGGTGCGTCATTCTCTCCAGGACACGCTGCAATGAAAATACACATTTGATAATGTTTTTATGTGTTTGTAGCCTTTACTTTGTCATTTAGATATTAGTCTAATATAGCTAATATAGCTAATGTAGCTAAGGTAGCTAATACAGCTTCAGCCCCTGTTACCTTCATATAAGCCTTATACAACGCTGTTTTTTTTTTTTGTCAAATATGGCTCCTTGAACCTTTTGAGTTGCCTGGGCCGCTAAAAAGGAAAAAATGCCTGGGCCGTTTTTTTGTCCCAGTCCAGCCCTGCCTACCACTAAAAACATCCACTTGCCATTGGTGATTATTGTCAAACTCACACGTAGGAAACTGTAAGTCTGTGCATAATAACTTTCTACAGCCCGTATAGACTCCCACAGGACCCCCAAATGTGTTTTTTCTCAAAAAAGAATCACTGTCATTGATGTGAACCCTGTGAAAAGGTGGATCTTTGGTTTACTAATGTGTCCCTCTAACTAAATTGTCTGGACACCCCTATTGTACATGGCAATTGTGTGATTCCTTCCTGATTATCTGTATTCCTCGTTCTTTTCTCGTAGGCAGTGCAGTTTATGGAGCTCCTACCTCAACAGTGCCGTCCCCTGTGTGGCACAAAGGGGGCGCTAGAGAGAAGCAGGCAATTACAGATACAGCTTCCAGTTTATGACCAGGACCCAATGAAGTGTTGCAGCCTCTCCTCCGAAGACCAGGTGAGGCTGTAATCTGTTTTTTAACATGATTTATTTAACTATATATTTGTAAAATCATAAAAGACAATAACATCAGGTTTTTTTTTGTTAGATATGTTCCATGCTGCTCTTTGTCAAGCACTACAAACAAGAAGTGTTGGGAGTGGGAGAAGTGGCGTTACCTGGAGAGGGCGGGGCTTTGAGGCACGCAGCCAATCAGAGAGCAGCAAAAGAGCAGGAACCAGCCAATCAGCACCCAGCACAGGAGCCTGAGTACATCACATCAACGAATGAGACGGAAGAATATGTAAGAACTACACAGGATTGCAGTACATGTAGTAGTAATATTAGTGGTAGCAGGAGTAATTTACATAGTCGTAGTAGCAGTACTTTTACATAGCAGTGGTTGTAGTAGTAGTTTACATTGTAGTAGTAGTAACTATGCTTGTGTTTATTAACAAAGACAACTATACGTGCAATAGTTTATTTATGTTTTGCCCAAAATCACAAGAGCAGTCGCCAACAGCAAATTAGAATTAGAATTATTATTATTATTATTATTATTATTATTATCACATATTAAATCCAGCAATGAAATATCAAAAAAAAAAATCAAATTGTATGTAGTATGATAACTGGGTAATCAATGTCCACACATGTTCTGGATCACTGTCTTAAACCCTGCATCTGAAGATAAAAACTCAAATGTAATCAGAATCAGAATAATTTTTATTGCCACGTAAGTAACAGGAAGTCAGGCCCCTCCCCTCCCTCTCCACCAAACCAAACATCAGCATTTTATTTTCTTTGTCACAACAGGGAAAGTGGAGCAAACGTGAAATTGGCATTTTCTGTGAGTGGTTTCGAGTTGGTGCTACGGCTAAGCTAACAACATCACTCACTGCACCGCTTAAGTGAAATAATAGCTACAGTTTTATTCGATGTATTATGTTATTATTCAGATTCAGAAAACGTTATTGATCCCAAAGGGCAATTCATTTGTAGCATAAACTCAAAGCAGAACACACATACTCTACACAAACACACAGTGAGTCTCACAGTTCACACAACAGCAGGTTACACAATATGTTACAAAAACAACACTGAACAACACAATTCCCAAAAGTTAACCTCCTCTACCAGAGTTCAAAAGTTGTATGGAAGTTTTCTGTTTGTTTTTCGTGCTGGAGCATAAAAAAGACGGCCTGAAGGCTTCAATACAAAGTCAGCAATCAGAGGATGTTTGGGCACTAAAAAAGTTGGAGATCGCTGACTTAGGACATCACTGCAGGCACAGGTCTGAAATGCACAGACCGCCACTGGCCATTTCCAGTGTGATTCTACATCAGGGCTAACCAGAACACACCCAAGACCATACAACCCACACCCATCTTGTCTAATACAGACCAATATCTAAGCTAAGATAAGATAAAATAGACTTTATTGATCTCACACAGGAGAAATGTACATGTCACATCTGACATGGATAGAAACACTCAGATAGTGCAAAAGACAGAAATGTGCAATCATGTTAAATGGAAATTAATGGAAATTAAAAGTGGCAATCAAGAAACAGTGTCAATAGTAGTGCACGTTTTTCAGTCCTAATGCTTAAAGACTTAAAGTGACTTGTTGTACAGTCTGACAGCGGTGGGGATAAAGGCCCTCTGGTAGAGCTCCTTCCTACACTGAGGGTGCCTCAGTCTTCCCCTGAAGGAGCTCCTCAGCTCCTCTACAGTCCTGTGCAGTGGGAGGTGTTGTTCATGATGGAGGTGACAATAGCACCTCCTGTCCCTCACCTCCTCCACAGAGTCCAGGGGCCTCCTATCCCTCAGCTCCTCCACAGAGTCCAGGGGCCTCCTGTCCCTCACCTCCTCCACAGAGTCCAGGGGCCTCCTGTCCCTCAGCTCCTCCACAGAGTCCAGGGGCCTCCTGTCCCTCAGCTCCTCCACAGAGTCCAGGGGCCTCCTCTCCCTCACCTCCTCCACAGAGTCCAGGGGCCTCCTCTCCCTCACCTCCTCCACAGAGTCCAGGGGCCTCCTGTCCCTCACCTCCTCCACAGAGTCCAGGGGCCTCCTGTCCCTCACCTCCTCCACAGAGTCCAGGGGCCTCTTGTCCCTCACCTCCTCCACAGAGTCCAGGGAGCTGCCCAGAGTGGAGCTGGCCCTCCTGACCAGCTAGAATTTTACAGACTTTCTATTCATCTATTAATTCTCCTTATTACGTGTTAGGATCTAAAGAGTGTGGCTCAGTGATAGAAATGAAACAGCCGTGGAACAGGGGAAAAGGATGTAAAAAAAAACTGTTTATTTACATAAAAGGTAAATGTGAACAAAATAGTCTTATTATAATAAAGCGTCTGTATCAAAGGAGCGTGGTTATATCTATTAGTTATTGTCTTCGTCGGAGTCCACATCGAGCAGAGGGATCATGTCACGGGCCACTGTGTAGTCGGCCATGTTGGGGATACCGGAGATGACGCAGCAGCTGAGTGCGCTGCGGAACAGGCTGGTGGCTTGGGCCTCGCTCCAACGGTCCACCAGGGGGTCGTACGTCTCCACGCTCCATGTGGTGCTGACGCCGTTGTACCCTCCCACAGCATAGAAGCGGTCGTTCAGGACCTCGAGGCCAAAGTTGCTGCGGGTGGTGATCATGGGAGCTACCTCATGCCACGAGTTTGTCCGGGGGTTATAGGCCTCCACGCTTCTGAGGCGCTCAACACCATCAAAGCCTCCGACCTGCAGCACAGAAGGGAGACAGAAGGGACTTATTAGAATACAGTCTGTAGAAAGAGTGCTTTTATCAAGACAACAATGTTCCAAAACAAGAGCATGTTTGAACCACAGAGGAGTTACTGTGTTTGTTGTAATGTGACACATGACGGTGAGGATGAGAATGAGGCTTACTGCGTAGATGTGGCCGGAGTAGGCAACAAACGAGACACCGCTGCGCCTGCTGGTCATTGGGGCGATGAAGGTCCACTGCTTTGTGTTTGCACAATAGCATTCAGCCGTTTCAAAGACCTGGGTACCATCAAATCCGCCACAAATGTAGATCTACAAAACACAAAAGGTTGGGTTGTTTTAGTGTTGTCAATCATGTTCAATCATGTTCTTTTGATGAAATGCATGTTTTCTCTTCTCTAACCTTGTCATCAAGTGTGGCACAGTTGGCGTCACTTCTTCGCTGGTTCATCTGTGCGATCAGAGACCACTGATTGGTCTGAGGGTTGAAGACTTCAGCCGTGTTCAGTCGTAGTGCTCCGTCGAATCCCCCGATGGCGTAGATGCAGCCGTGCATCACAGTCACGCTGACGTAGCTGCGGCGGTGGTACATGGGGGGCATCTCGTGCCACCTGTTGGTTGCCAGGTCCAGGCGCCGCATGGTGTTGAGCTGCTTCAAGCGATTAAAACCTCCCACGCAGTAAACCCCGCCATTGAGAAACACCACGCCGTGGTAAGCACGCGGGCTCTCCTGATGGTTAGTCACGTTGACCCAGCGATTTGCCTTCAAATCAAAGGCCTCGATGACGTGGGTGGGGTCGCCGCCGCTCCAGCCGCCGATCGCCAGCAGGATGGCTCCTGGAAGTCGAGGCGAGGTGTTGAGGCCGCTCAAGACGATGTTTCTGTAGTCGAGGGGGCCGACCAGAGAGGTTTTCAAAACATTGGTTTTCACATACTCGTTCGAAATTTCAGAGAAACGGACCTGAAACACACAAGTACAACTTAAGTCAGAGTGACTCAATCCTGGAATCAACCACCACCCACTCGCACAAATTATAAATCTTTTTTTTTTTTTGATTCATTGAACTCAAAGTTTTGTTGGGATCTGGAAATCTTCTTCAAAACAAATGCACAGATCCACTTTGATTACGGCACTTCTGCAAATAGTTCCACATGTCTTACATACTCTGTTTAACGTACTGTATAGTGAATAATGTCACAACTAGGTTTCAGACTCAGAAAGAGTCATTCATTGACTCACCTTCTCCAGCAGGCGAGAAAAGTCGTTTTTCCTGTTTTGAAGGTCGTGGTTGGTCCATCGCACGATTGCTTCAAAAACTGCGGTCTCACTCCTGACATCGAGCGTATCATTCTCGATGAAGCCCAGCAGTTCCTGCACCGACAGCTCCAGGAACTCATCACTAGCTGCCACCTCTTCAAAGTGCCTCAGGATGAACCTCTGAGCACACTCCTTCATCGATTCGGAGACTATGACATCCGACTGGTGCCACATGCCGATGGAGTTCTCAGGGAGCAGGTGGTCCTCCAAGAACTTATAGCAAATCTGGACCAGTTTTTCCAGCATCAGGGTGCTGGCGGCCTTTAGCACTTCCTGAACGTTGTGTCTGCTCAAAGATGGTGTGGATTGTGTGTAAATCCAATCCAGAATCAGTGCCATGGTCCTTGGAGAGATGTTTTTGAGTCTGAAGAAATTCTCATTCTGAGAGGCTGCGCTTTCAAACATGGCTCTAAAGAAACAAAAAACACAAACATTCACATTATTTTATCAAGATAAGATAAGATAAGAATTCCTTTATTCGTCCCACAGTGGGGAAATTTTGATGTTGCAGCGCACATACAGGACAGTAGTAAGAGCACACAGGGAGGACACACAATATATACAAATAAGTAGTAGCTATGTTTCTTAGCTAACATAACTAGCTGTAGATGCTGAAAATGCTTCAATACCAGTCAAAAAATATATATGTAGTAGTGCAGTTATATACTGTACAGTTAAATAGTGCAGGATAATAAATAGATAAGTAAAGTGACATAAGGTAAAGTGACATTGTTCTGTGACATTCTGAAGTTGCACATTGCACATGATTTAAGAATTTACTTAATTACAGATGAATGAATTTACAGGCTCAGCAGTTCTTATTGTACAGTCTGACAGCAGCAGGAAGGAAAGACCTACGGAACCTCTCCTTCACACAGCGAGGGTGAATCAGTCTGTCACTGAAGCTGCTCTCCAGAGCAGAGAGAGTGTCCTGCAGGGAGTGACAGTCATGGTCCAGCATAGATGTTAGTTTGCTCAGGACCCTCCTGTCCCCCACCTGCTGCACTGTGTCCAGGGAACAGCCCAGGACAGAGCTGGACTTCCTGATAACCTTGTCCAGCTTCTTCCTGTCCCTCTCTGTGATGCTGCTGTTCCAGCAGACCACACCGTACAAGAGGCTGATGCCACCACAGAGTCATAGAAGGTCTTCAGGAGTGGCCCCTGCACTCCAAAAGACCTAAGCCTCCTCAGTAGGTAGAGGCGGCTCTGGCCCTTCTTGAAGAGGGCGTCTGTGTTATGAGTCCAGTCCAGTTTGTGGTTAAGATGAACACCCAGGTACTTGTAAGAGTCCACTCTCTCGATGTCCTTTCCCTGGATGTTCACTGGAGCTGGAGCGGCAGAGTGACGTCTGCGGAAATCCACCACCATCTCCTTGGTCTTCCCCGCGTTGATGAGGAGGTGGTTCCGCTGACACCAGTCCACAAAGTCCTGTATAACTCCTCTGTACTCTGTGTCCTCGGAGCTGAGTCCGATGATGGCAGAGTCGTCTGAGAACTTCAGTAGAACACAACCGTCCGTGTTGTGTCTGAAGTCCGCAGTGTAGAGGGTGAAGAGGAACGGTGCGAGGACTGTCCCCTGGGGGGCCCCCACACTGCAGGTCAGGACCTCAGACACAAAGTCCCTGGTTCTCACAAACTGGGGTCTGTCTGTGAGGTAGTCCAGGATCCACTCGGACAGGTCGTAGTCCACACCGGTATTACGACCAGTATTGAATTGTCAGTCTTTAGTTTTTCGTTCAATTAATTGGTCAATGATTTCTCCCTCAAGTAAAATGTTGTTAGTTGATTATTGAATTTATCAAAAAGATAGGGATTACTATTGCACTGTAAAAAAGAAAAAGTCAGTTCAACTCAAAATTTCAAGGGAACCGACTGCACAGAATTTCTGAGTTGATGGCATCAACTACATTTTTTATGTTTTGAAGAACTACAATTATTAAGTTCTGCTAACTAAGTTTTTGTAATTGAAGTTACTGGATCTTTCAAGTCTGTAAAAACTTCCCCTGCAATAACTTACTATTTTGAGTTTAAATTTCCCCCACATTAAATTCTCTCCGGGAGTACGGGGTCGGGGGTCCTCTGCTGAGGACCATCCGATCCCTGTATGACCGGAGCCAGAGCTGTGTTCGCATTGCCGGCAGTAAGTCAGACCTGTTCCCGGTGAATGTTGGCCTCCGACAGGGCTGCCCTTTGTCACCGGTTCTGTTCACTGTATTTATGGACAGAATATCTAGGCGCAGCCAGGGGTCGGAGGGGGTCCGGTTCGGAGACCACAGGATTTCATCTCTGCTGTTTGCGGACGATGTTGTCCTGTTGTCCTGCTCCAACGAACCAGGACCTGCAGCATGCACTAGGGCGGTTTGCAGCCGAGTGTGAAGCGGCCGGGATGAGAATCAGCACCTCCAAATCCGAGGCCATGGTGCTCGACCGGAAAAAGGTGCCTTGCCCTCTGCAGGTGGGTGGAGAGGTCCTTCCTCAAGTGGAGGAGTTCAAGTATCTCGGGGTCTTGTTCACGAGTGAGGGAAGGATGGAGCGTGAGATTGACAGGCGGATCGGTGCAGTGTGCGCAGTGATGCGGTCGCTGTATCGGACCGTTGTGGTAAAGAGGGAGCTGAGCCGAAAGGCAACGCTCTCAATTTACCGGTCAATCTTTGTTCCCTCCCTCACCTATGGTCATGAGCTTTGGGTAATGACCGAAAGAACAAGATCGCGGATACAAGCGGTCGAAATGAGCTTCCTCCGCAGAGTGGCTGGGCGCTCCCTTAGAGATAGGGTGAGGAGCTCAGTCACACGGGAGGAGCTCGGAGTAGAGCCGCTGCTTCTCCACGTCGAGAGGAACCAGTTGAGGTGGCTCGGGCATCTGTTCCGGATGCCTCCTGGACGCCTCCCTGGGGAGGTGTTCCGGGCAAGTCCCACCGGGAGGAGGCCCCGCGGAAGACCTAGGACACGCTGGAGGGACTATGTCTCTCAGCTGGCCTGGGAACGCCTTGGGGTCCCCCCGGACGAGCTGGAGGAAGTGTGTGTGGATAGGGAAGTCTGGGCGTCTCTGCTTAGACTGCTGCCCCCGCGACCCGACAACGGATAAAGCGGAAGAAAATGGATGGATGGATGGATGGATAAATCATCCTGTTTCATCATCATGTTTGTTTATATAGTGCATTTCCAACAAGGTCACTTGGGTAGGGGAAACTGGAGCACTCGGAGGAAACCTATGCAGACACTGAGAACATGCAAATTCCACTCAGGGATTCGAACCCGGGACTTTCTTGCCAAGAAGCGAGAGTGCTAACCACTCAGCCACCGTGCCACACACACTATAGTGTGGGAAAACTAATGTTTCTTAAGGAAACTCGTTCCCTCAATACAGATTAGTTAGCTCATTCGACAGTCATACAGGGCTACTTTGATTTAGCCCTGTCGATTACGATTGGTAAAAATAAATACAATGATTTATTTGGACATAACTATGAATGTTGACATAACTATGAATGTTGACCTCGAATGTCCTGGTGCACGGGTTCTTGTGAAGCACATGTGGAACTGTCTTTATGTCTTCAAAGATTGAGAGATTTACTGTAAAATGTGATTCTTCCATGACTCAGTGCAGGTGTTCTGAGGTGTTGGGTTGGTGTGAGTTCTTACCTGAAGTATTTGCTGGAGTGGCACAGCTGGAGTTTGTGACACGGAAACTCTGAATCCTCCACCTTGAGAACAGCGTCACAAAACACATTCCTGCGTCGCAAATCGTCAGAATATACGTCCATCTTCGTTGTCTTTTTGAATGACAGCGTGAATGCAGAGGATTTTTAGCCACGTCTGTCCACAGGCTGCTGAGTCGAACTAATGAGAAAGTCAGGAATGTGTCTCCGTGGTAACTTTGAGTGCTATCATTTACAATACAATACATTTATGTTATTGTATGAAATTTATTTTATTGTATTCAATTTCAAACAGAAATAGTGTAACAAGGAGCATGTATACAAAATCAATCGGCATGACAGCCATTATTTTATATCAATCTGAATGAATATGCATGAGGAATTGTGGTAGGTGTTAATAGATAATACATGTGTTTGTGTTTGTCTCACCATTTAAAGTCCGTTAAAAATCAAATGTTGAACCGATCAGACAACAACATGCTTTCGTTATCCGATTATAAAACATGTGTTGCCTTAAAGAGTAAAGAAAGCAAATAGAAAAGTATTTTATAAAGTAAATTATTTATTATTTATTCATCTTTATAAAGGACACATTACAACACGGTTCAAAATTAAAAGAAAAATATCCAATACACACAGTATATTTCATAATTGATTTTTTTTATTTTTTTAAACAAAGGAAAGAGCAAAGAAAGTAAAGAGTAAAGAAAGCCTCAAAAGCACGGAAAATAAAAAAGAAAAGATAACAGCATAACATACACACACATGTAAAAAGTAAAATGGTAAAACTCAGTTGGTGTTAAAAGCCAAGGCGGGAAAATGTTTCTCTAGACTAGAGTTAAAAATTATGGATCGGAGGGAGACCATTCCTGTCCATAAATATCCATAAAGGTCCATAAATGCCGTTGAATGTGGAGCAGAGGGTAAAGTACTAGTCTTAGGAACCAAAACGATTAAAGTAAGAGCAAATATTTGTGTCTCTGTCTGTCTTGTCTGTCTGTCTGTCTGTCTGTGTAGGTTTTCAGTTCCAGTGCAAACTATAAATAATATATATAAATCACATCTGGTGCACACCTACAGTATGCATATATATATCCACCCATGCACATATACAGTACATACATATACAGTACATATTCATACATAAGAAAGCAAGAAGTTGGCTAACCTTACCCAACTTCATTCACTTAGAAGCATGGCTAACCAGTTCCGAGTTCAGCAAAGTAACTACAGCTACAGGAGTAATTTCAAAATGTGAAGAGTAGAAAGTGCAAATATTTGGGTTTCAAAATAAGGGGTAAAAGTAAAATCCTTGTCAGAACTAGTAAACTAATATCAGGACAAAATATTTACAATATATGAGCAAAAACACGTACTCTTCACCTCTAATGTTGAGTCCTTTGACCATCTTGAATTGTTCATTGAAAAAGCTAATCGATAATTCTATATTTCTGTTTAGCTGTAGCACTTTAAAGTGACCACAGCCGCTGCATACTTTTATACAGAACAAGCTCAAATAGATGTCCCTGAAATAAAACTGCAGATGATTGTCCCATAGAAATGAAAAGTACACGTAAATGAACGTCACAAAGTGGATAAAAGAGCCGTTATTTTTAACATCCGTCGCCGTGACAACCTCAGAAAAGCTGCCTGTGCTTGATTTTTAAATGGACCAAGGTTTATGAAGGGAAATGTCAAAGTGCTAAAGTACAGAACCCACACGTTAGTCCGACATCTTCTATGATCTTTAAAAATCCCGCCTCAACAAAGGTTTTCCTGGCCGTGGGAACATTTCTTTTAGACTCTAGAAGCAAAGACTTGGACTCATCTCTTTAATCCCAGCAGAGATAAAGCATTGTTTTTTTACAGTGCTTTTCAGGAGACTCAAAGATGCTGCATGTCATTATTCATTCGCTCCATAGATGGTGGAGATAAACTATTACAGTAGCCACAGCTGCCCTGGGGCACACTGACAATGTGGGTGAAGTGTCTTGCCTAAGTACACACTGGCAGTTTGGCACTTTACAGCCACAGCCGCCCCACTGTGGCACTTGGTGTTTCCAGAGGTCTCCCATCACAGAACTAACCAGGCCCTGCCCTGCACAGCTTCAGAGGTCAGACAGGATCTGGCTCTCACCTGCAGGTACAGCCAGATGATCAACAGTGACCGCCCACCGCACTTCTGTTAAATAAATGTGTTTTAACTCATATTTTAACCACTTTTTTTTACTTGTGATGTAAGGCAACCATGAACATCTAGAAATGAAAAATAATAGAAATAAAACTGTATAATTATTATTATTATTATTGTTATATTTGAAATCTAGAAAACAAGGACACAACACAGACAATTGATGACTTGAACTTTTTGGCTTTTTTTATTTTTGTATTTGCCTTCTCTACTTCTGCAGATGTATCCAGTGTCCAATGAATCATGAGTCTAATCTATAATTCTATATTTTCTTTTTTTAATGGAGATACTGAAAAAATCCATCTCAATCTCAAGATTCTGTTCTATCTGCCGGATCTCTCTCATCTTAAATACATGAAGAAAGAGCAGAGATGGGACTGAGCTGATTGTGCGCCTCCTCTCTCTCCACAGCTGTGCTCCGGTTGCCTGGGCTCGGTGGACAAGGACTCCCCGGTGGTTTTCGCTCAGAGGGAGGGGTACGACGCGCTGTGGCACCCCTCCTGCTTCGCCTGCTCCGTGTGTGGCCTGCTATTGGTTGATCTGGTTTACTTCTGGACCAATCAGAGGCTGTACTGCGGACGTCACTACTGCGAGAGCCAGAGGCCGCGCTGCCGGGGCTGTGACGAGGTGTGGGAGACATTACACGCACGATACAGACACGCACAATACACACACGCACGATACACATACGCGTGGTACACAGATACATATACGCACAATACACACACGCACAATACACACACGCACAATACACACACGCCCAATACATATATGCACGATACATAGATACATATACCCACAATACACACACGCACAATACATATACGCACAATACACAGACGCGCGATACATATACGCACAATACATAGATACATATACGCACAATGCACACACGCACAATACATATACGCGCGATACACACGCGCACAATACATATACGCACAATACACACACGCACAATACATATACGCGCGATACACACGCGCGCGATACATATACGCACAATACACACACGCACGATACATAAATACATATATATATATTAAGAAATATTATACATGATTTTTTTCATCAAGTAGGCGTTGCAAATAATAATAAATACAGCTGTTAGTACTGTGTGGAATCCTCAGCTCCAGAAGATGTTCGTCCAATAATGTCTACTTTTCAATGTTCTGTTTTTTAAGCGACAAAATCATGTGTACTTGTGTGTAAACTTTCAGTAAAAGAAAAAAAATGTTAATGTTTAGGTGGTAAAAAAGCCAAAAGGTGAACAAAGTAACCCAGAACACTTCATTTACAATATTAAAGTATCCTATAAAGATAGTGTAGGTTCGGCCAAACAAGTATTTTGTAACAGCTGTGATTCCACCTGGATTGTGACGGGTGTGTGTGTTTTGTTGCAGTTGATCTTCAGCGAGTCGTACCAGTCGGGGAGCGGGGGTCGAGCCTGGCACAGAGAGCACTTCTGCTGCTGGAGATGTGGACAGGGCCTGGACCAGAGCTGTCCTCACGCCTCAGACCTGGAGCAACACTCGTTTCAGGACTGAACTAAAGCTAAACTAAAAGGACTCACAACTATTGATGCAGGATTTAGGTCGGATTAAATCAGGGTTAGCTAAGGACTTACAACATCATGGTTAAAAAGTCCTATAGTCCAGGGCTGAACACTCCGCGGACAGGTCTGTCTTGAAAAGAATATTCTGAATCTCACTTCCTGGTTAAATAAAGTGAAATAAATGAATATATTTTTCTTAGGTTAAAAGTTTTATTTGCTCTTACACTATTGGCCATTTCAATCTGATACTGCCTGAATCTGAGGAGAAATTAAAAGTCTGGATTCAAAGTGAGTTTTATTGGAAACATGACAAATAGGAAGAGTCCAATTTTGTATTTGTCAAAAGATGTGTTTAGTGTCCAGACCACAGCTGCTTCTCCCGAGCTTCAAAAACCTCATCTACAAAACCAGATAATCAATATCAGGTCTTACATGTTTGTATTAGTCGTCTTTTTAAATGTAAAACGAGATTAAAATACAGTAATGGTAATGACTTGAAATATTTAGGGCTGTTTTATCATCTACAACAGTGTTTCCCAACCAGGGGTTCACGGACCTCTAAGGTATTCAGGTGTCCATGAAATACATTTCAAAAGGCAAACATTGATAGTAAGAATTAGTAAGAACTACTGTGGCACAATGTACATAGTTCTGATTCCTTCAAGATATCTCCCACACTATTCTAAACATAGAACCCAGAACATAATCCACGATAAGAGATTAATTAAGAGATTAAGAGGTCCTTTATCCTTCCGACAGTGGGGAAATGTCAGTGTTGCATTACAAGTTATAGAACAGGAAACAAGGAAGGAACAAGGAAAGAGGAGCACACAGCACAAGTGAACAATAGCTATAATGGTTAAAATAAAACAAAATCTATAACTAGCATCAACAAGTATAAAAACTCAAATCTTGAAAGTAACAAAAAGAGGTGTAAAAGTTGTAAAAGTCTTACATTTGGCAATAAGAGGCAAGTATAAAGTAACATTCAATAACATCTGGTCAATGTGCAATAATAAGCATTCCTCTGGTTCAGTTTTGGTCCAGTCGATCTAAAAGTTCACTAATAAAAGATACCTTCATATAAACAAATGCAATGAATTACAAAATAATCCAAAGAAGAGAAAGAGTTATTGAAAACTTTCCCTAAAGAAAAAAAAAGACCTTGGTATAACCATAAAGCCTAGCGTACATCGGACTGGCAACTGATTATATCCGTCGCATATGAGTTGCTGCCCCGCACACATCGACAATCTGACGAAAACGGGCAACTCCCAGTAGCAGACCAGTCTCGGGAATAACAGCGCGTACATCGACAGCAACTGGCCTCAACTACAGTGTGTTTTCTGACATAAACTGTAGAGGGCGCAATACACGCAATACACACACGCTGTCGGAGCGGCGCATGGAGCGCGCACATTGGGTCATATCACTGAAACTGAGGACAACTAGTTGCCGAAAAGTAGAACACGGGCAACTGACTGAAACTGGAGACCGACTGTTTATCTCCAGTTGTAAGAGCGCGCACATCGACCGATTCCGGCAACTGATCATCTCCTCTCAGTTGCCAAAAGCCGCCTTGCAACTAGTTGTCTCCAGTTTCTCTGTCGATGTACGCTAGGCTTAAAGGAGTCGGGGCCCTGGACCAGAATGAGATCCCTCACAATACATACAGTACACACAATACACACAATACATACACACGATACAATACAGTGCCTTGCGAAAGTATTCGGCCCCCTTGAACCTTTCAACATTTTGCCACATTTCAGGCTTCAAACATAAAGATATAAAAATTTAATTTTTTGTCAAGAATCAACAACATGTGGGACACAATCGTGAAGTGGAACAAAATTTATTGGATAATTTAAACTTTTTTAACAAATAAAAAACTGAAAAGTGGGGCGTGCAATATTATTCGGCCCCCTTGCGCTAATACTTTGTAGCGCCACCTTTTGCTGCAATTACAGCTGCAAGTTGCTTGGGGTATGCCTGCAAGACTTGGGGTATGCCTTGCAAGACAGCTGGAGCTCAGTGAGGTTGGATGGAGAGCGTTTGTGAACAGCAGTCTTCAGCTCTTTCCACAGATTCTCGATTGGATTCAGGTCTGGACTTTGACTTGGCCATTCTAACACCTGGATACGTCTATTTGTGAACCATTCCATTGTAGATTTGGCTTTATGTTTTGGATCATTGTCCTGTTGGAAGATAAATCTCCGTCCCAGTCTCAGGTCTTTTGCAGACTCCAACAGGTTTTCTTCCAGAATGGTTCTGTATTTGGCTCCATCCATCTTCCCATCAATTTTAGCCATCTTCCCTGTCCCTGCTGAAGAAAAGCAGGCCCAAAGCATGATGCTGCCACCCCCATGTTTGACAGTGGGGATGGTGTGTTCAGGGTGATGAGCTGTGTTGCCTTTACGCCAAACATATCGTTTTGCATTGTGGCCAAAAAGTTCGATTTTGGTTTCATCTGACCAGAGCACCTTCTTCCACATGTTTGGTGTGTCTCCCAGGTGGCTTGTGGCAAACTTTAAACGAGACTTTTTATGGATATCTTTGAGAAATGGTTTTCTTCTTGCCACTCTTCCATAAAGGCCAGATTTGTGCAGTGCACGACTGATTGTTGTCCTATGGACAGACTCTCCCACCTCAGCTGTAGTTATCTGCAGTTCATCCAGAGTGATCATGGGCCTCTTGGCTGCATCTCTGATCAGTCTTCTCCTTGTTTGAGATGAAAGTTTGGAGGGACGGCCGGGTCTTGGTAGATTTGCAGTGGTCTGATACTCCTTCCATTTAAATATAATTGCTTGCACAGTGCTCCTTGAGATGTTTAAAGCTTGGGAAATCTTTTTGTATCCAAATCCGGCTTTAAACTTCTCCACAACAGTATCTCGGACCTGCCTGGTGTGTTCCATTGTCTCCAATCCACAGATAACAATCCAACAGCCAGAAAGGCTCTCTGAGCTAACTCACTTTGCACCTGTAGATGATAAAAATGTCCATGAGATAATCTCCAGTCTGAGCTCCTCCACATGCAGCCTGGATGTACTACCCACTAGATTTCTGAAGTCTGTTCTGAGCAGTCTGTTACCTTCACTCACACAGATAGTAAACATGTCCCTTCATTCTGGAATATTCCCAAAGGCCCTGAAAACGGCAGTCATCAGGCCCCTGCTAAAAAAGAGCAGTCTGGATGCCACTGTACTTAACAACTATCGTTCCATCTCAAATTTGCCATTTATGGGGAAAGTCCTTGAAAAAGTTGTCTACCTACAGCTTACTAGATTTCTTATAATCAACAACTTATTTGATATGTTTCAGTCCGGCTTTAGACCCCACCACAGCACTGAGACTGCGCTCGTTAAGGTTACAAACAATATCCGCCTGAACACTGACGCAGGCCAAGTCTCAATCTTAATCTTGTTAGATCTGAGTGCTGCCTTTGACACCGTCGACCATGAGATCCTCTTACAGAGACTAGAGGACTGGGTTGGCGTCGCTGGCACCGCCCTAAGTTGGTTTAGGTCTTACCTTGAAGACAGGAAGTACTTTGTGGAGATTGGAAACTGTGTCTCAGATCATATGGCCCTGACCTGTGGAGTACCACAGGGGTCGATCCTGGGACCTCTTCTGTTCAATCTCTACATGCTGCCGTTAGGTCAGTTAATACGCAGAAACAAAGTGTCCTATCACAACTATGCAGACAACACTCAGATCTATGTCTCACTGACTGCAGGAGAACATGGACCAGTGGACTCACTCCTTCACTGTATCCAACAGATCAGTGAGTGGATGCAAAACAACTTCCTTCAGCTAAACGCAGACAAAACTGAAATGATTGTCTTTGGTCCCAGAAACAAAGAGAGAGCGTCATCTGTCACCTACAGTCTCTCTCCCTAAAACCTTCAAACAAGGTCAGAAATCTAGGGGTAATACTGGACTCAGACTTAAATTTTAATAGCCACATCAAATCAGTAACATCAGCAGCTTTTTACCATCTAAAAAACATTGCCAGGATCAAAAACATAGTGTCTAAAGCAGACTTGGAGATTCTTATCCATGCGTTTGTCTCCAGTAGGTTAGACTACTGCAATGGCCTGCTCACAGGTCTGTCCAAACAGGCTGTAAAACAGCTGCAGTACATTCAAAATGCAGCAGCTCGAGTCCTGACTAGAACCAGGAAGTACGACCACATTAGTCCGGTCCTCAGGTCTCTGCACTGGCTTCCTGTGGCTCAGAGAATAGACTTTAAAACAGCTCTGCTTGTGTACAAGTCTCTCCATGGCCTCGCACCAAAATATATTAGTCACATTGGAGCTTCGTGAGAGGGACCGTGCCACTATTGCAGACCTCCGTAAAGAAGTCCTTCGCCTCACTGCAGAGCTGCAGGATAAACAGTCA